AATGTTCGTGACCCGAATTGGTCGTGAACAGAAATGTTCGTGACCCGAGGTACCACTGTAATGCTTTCATCATTCCCACTCGTTCCTCCAACTGTGTCACTATTCTGAATTACTCTTGTAACGGCTGCCTGAGCCACTAAGCCCAAGAGCAACAGAGTACAGATAGCCATGAAAAACCCTCTTAGATAAACTGCATTCCCAACTATACAACCTTTTAATGTCCCTGACATGGCATTATTATGTTTTGCATACTTGCTAGTTTGGATAATATAGCCCATGCATTGGCTATCAAGGGCCATACTTAACATTTTTAGGAGGCTGAGGTTAGAGCCTTATTACACAGGGAGGCTGGGCTTGGTTTTTCAGTTAGTAAACTTGGTTGAAGGGAAACTCCAAATGTTGTATGCAGGCCAGGGTCTGTAGGGTGCCTACTCCTGTAGTAGCTGGTAGTTGTCAGCCCTATAAGGTAGGCCAGACTAAGAAACTAATGCCATATGGGTCTATAACTACTTTTATTAGAACAGCTATTGTAACAGAGTTGTGCAATCTGAATGTGCTTTCCTCCTCCTTTGTTTTATCTTCATGTGAATTAGGGAGGGGCCTGTCTGAGGTGATTTCTCAAGTTTGTTTCTTGGAATGGGCTTGTCTGATTGTTGCATTGGTAACGGATCTTCCCACTGTTCTTCAAGGCTATTCTCTGTTCCCTCTAAAATGGTATAGACCTCTTGCTAGCAGGAAAGAGTTTTGGATCCCCTGATAGAATGGTGGTAATTATCTCATATGGCCTAGGGACTGCTATTCAGAATAACCACTCCCAGCAGGCCAGACACAGCATCTCTTCTGTCCTATCATTACCAGCCCTTTATTGATAATTACTGAAATGGTTCTCTAGCAGCAGGAAAAATCCTGAAAATTCCCCCAGAAGAAAAGTCCCTGTCCTGCCTTTTCTCCACTGATTACATCCATACAAAAGCTTAACAGAAGGAATAATTTTCCCATATAGAATTCATAGCAGGGACCTTCCCATAACAAAATCAGAATGAGAAACTGGCCATCAGTTGCTTTTCAATCAAAAATGCACTCTACTTCCTCAGAATGTCCAATCTTTACTAACTAACTAACTAGATGGCTTTACAGCTATTATTCCTAAGCAATTATTGCAAATGAAAGTCCCACTGGGAGCCCTACCAAACCTAAGAAACCTACTTGGTTTTTTGTCATCAACAGAGTTAATGTACAGGAAATCTATATAATTCCTCTGTATGCAGACATAACTTCCTGGTAATTTTTATTAATTCGTTTATTTTAAAAATTATATACTGCTTACGCTATTAACAGCTCTGAGCAGCTTGCAAAGATATAGTAAAACATATATAAATATAAAATTAAAAACATAACATATAAAACACAATAAAGAAAATGTCATGACACAGGAATGCTTGATAATTATTTCCATGTTTTTAGGTAAATTTGCTTAATTCATATTCTTCAGAATAAGCAATCTGTTTTCAGCAAGATGGGATATATCTCCTTCCTGTCTCTCCTTCCTTTAGGAGTTGTGGAGGACAGTAAATTGAAGCTCTAGAGGCATAGGAATCCTTCATTTAAAACCCACAGAAGTGGTTTTTTATAGCAGGCAGTCTTCACCAGCCAAATTCTGCTCCCCACATGCAAAAGATAAAATAATGATAGGGAGCCATTTCAACCCCAGTCAAACTAGGGCTGGTATATTATGGGATATCTCAAATGAATCCAATTTATCATTAAAAAAAATCAGACGAGTAGCTTATCTACTAATTTACTGTTACTATCAAAGGCTCACCTCACAAACTACAGCAAGATTCTTTTCATCTTGAGCTTCTATCAGTTCAGCGAGGAAATATTCTCCATAGGTTTGCCTCAGAGTATCATTGTGCCGTGAAAAGATTGGTGTGAGATCATCATGGTCTTCTACCCTACAGATGAAATTATCCTTTTAAGAATGACAAGAAATAATCTAGGATTTTATTTTTGTTTCATATAATGTAAGTATAATTGATAAACGAAAGGCATCAATAAACTTCATAAAATGGGTATTCTGCAAAATAACATAAAATCTTCTGCAGAGATAATATTTTCCTAAATTACAATAGATGGTTACAGCAGATGCAAACTATACAATCTATTTTAATATCAAGGCTTAACACAATAATATGTAAATTAATACAAGACAAGAAAAATGGCAATTGCATATAAAAGAAATTAATGCCTTATTTTAAGATTCAATAATACAGCAGAAAGATTTGAATGAATTAGGATATGTTGTACCTATCTGGAGCGACCAGCTCAGAGATAAAATAAAGACACAGTTGTAATTGAATACCCCAGATGTTATTTGGCATTATTAACAGTCTGATTAGGGAAAAAGTGGGGACTTTCTGAAAACATATGTAAAAAAGCAAAGAGAAGGCATTAGAAATCTAGGGAATTTTTCTAACTGAACTGATATGGTATTATTCTGACTTAAGTCCTACATATAATTGTGCAGTGCAGTCAAACACGATTGCAGAAGATATGTCTAATTATTTAAGGATAGATTTATTTGTACTGACTTTATGCCAGAGATGATGGTCCCTGCCCATCCAAAATGCTAGTGGTTTTGTACTGCTTCAGTTAAACATCTCCATCTAGGTAAGTTTAAAGAAGAATGAGAAATAGAAGAAAGGGAAGAGAGACTACATAAAAGGAAAAAAGTAATATATAAAGGAAGGAAACAGTTTTCTAACAGTACTCCTGGCCTGGCCTGGTCAAGCCAAGGATCGTAAAGAAGCAGGGTAAAGAGTCAGACTGGATGTGAGTGGAATAGGTAGATCTTGTACTGGCAGAAGAAAGCAATGTCAGGACTTAAAAGACTCAGAAGAAGCTATGGGGTAGATTAACAATGAGTATAAAAGCTGTAGCTCTAACTCTTTATTGCACTCAGTGAAGAGCTTCACATTAACAAAGGTGAAGAGCTAATTATTCCTTAGCTTGATGGCTTGTTGCTGAGCCTGGCTTTAGCCTCTAATCCTTTCTGAAGCCTGGGAGCCTTGCATGGCTGGGAAATTACGTAACTGAATTTGAGTTTCCCCTGAATTATATTAACCTGAAGTTCAATACATTTTTAGCCATCTTCAAAGCCCTACTGATCTCAGGAACATGCAAACACTTGCTTGCAATGATATGTATCAAAGTGACCTATTATTCATATTTAATTAAGCTGAAAGTTGATGTATGACACTAAAGTTAGGGATTATTTTCAAATATTGTATTATTGTTGTCATGGGTTAACAATATTGATCAACATAGCCATTCATTAACTGTTTATCATTTTATCACCTTAAAATGCTTTTTTTTTTTTTTTAATCCACACTCAGTCGTTACCGACTCTGCGGTGACTGCCTGGACGAGTCCTTGCAGTTTTCAAGGCAAGGTGTTTCGGAAGTGGTTTGCCAGTACCTCCTTCCTAGAGCAGAGCCCAGCTGGGGGGTGCAGGGGGCGGGGTTTCCGTTGCTTTGCACCTTTTTCGGGCGTGCACGGCTTCCGTGCTACTGGCAACTGCTCCCGACTCCTTTTGCAAGGCACTGCCAGCATTTTTCCTCCCACCAGAGTGAGAGTACCCATTTATCTACTCATTAGTTATTAAGCCATAAATCAATTATGAAAAGTGGAATATACAAAATGGGTTATATTGTCCACCAAAAAGCATAATTAGCCTTGCTTATCAAACAGTGTAATTCAGGATTTCTAATGTATATTAATTAGAACTGTATATAAAAATTATATACAATGCACGTATGCACATATTATACACACACACACAGATACATACTGTATTTATATACTACTGACTACAGTAAAATTCACAGATATATGGTACAAACAATTGTGTACTTTTCCATAAAAATAGAGAACTGACACCACTTGTAAGTTAATGATCACTTTCAGATATTGGAGTATGTGCCCCATACTCTGTAACTGCATGTAGTATTTAGAAAAATATGTAGTCCAAGGTATATGGGTATTTCCTGAGCTATCGAGTAATGACATCTTTTCTCAGAACCATATGCCATTATTTATTATAATAATTATTTTTTACAAGCTGGAAGCATTTGGGATACTGAAGTGGCTGGGCAGATTTTCCTAGAGAAATGTATTGGAACATACATGACACTTCTTTCTGAACTACTAAAGCAGCTCCATCTTTTTCCAGGCTTGCACAGCTGCTCCAAGAACTGATCCCAGTTGCCTTCACATAGCATGTGAACGTACCCCGGATAAGTTTTTGAAGCAGCTGTGGGTACATGGAAAGAGGCACAACTGCTTAATCAGAAAAAAGGCGCACACTCCCACTCATTCCAAAAGACCTCTTTGGAAGGATTTGCCCAACTGTAATACTGATCAGACAAGATTAAACATTATTTATAGTATATAAGAATACCTTGCCACAACCATGTTATATGCAATATGTTATATGCAATATGACATGTTGCCTGCCTTTTCATGGCTGCATGAAGAGAATGAGAGAAGGTCTCATAGTGCTGATGAACTAAATATTGGCTTCTCTTTTGTGACAGGTTCCATGCATCTTTTATCAAGACTAAATAGCTCTCACTTGTTTAAATAGGAGTCCATCAAGTTTGTTGGAAGGATATAGTTCTATTTACCACTGGATTTCCTTTCCTCAATAATTTACAGGTAGTCCCCAGTTTAAGAACGAGTTCCATTCCCAAGGTCTGTCCTTAAGTCAAATTTGTAAGCCGGAACAGTATTATTGTATAATACTGTATAAGTAGTATTATGTAATTAACTTGAACCATTGTATATTTAACTCAAATCATTGTGTATTTAACACAAATTTTGCTACAATAGGCTCCATTCTTAACTATGGGTCGTCTGTAAACCAGGCGTTTTTAACTCAGGGACTACCTGTATTTTGTTCTTTTCCTAGAGGAGGAAATAAACAATTTATGGGCAGATTAATTAAAAGTTTTTTAGTATCTGTACCAAGTATCTGAATGATGAGAGCTATACATTTATGAATAATGGCTTAACACAATGGCTCTCAAAAGACTTATATACATTTCATCAAGTCATTCTTACTATTTTAATCAGAGTATTAATTATTTAATTGAATCCACTTCTTTGTCATGTTTGAAGACAACAGTCTTCTCAAAGTGGCTTAGAAAGTAAAATAAATGTAAAATGTTAATAAAAGTATATTAAAAAATAAATATTTCTTCTATTTAGGACTCTCAGCATGGGATCAGTTTGTTAGATACTTTAGGAAATACTGTGGATAAACCCAGTAATTCAGTATATAACTTAAATTTTTGCAAAGAGAATTCTTTATTACCAAAACCTGCTTCAACAAGAAACACAGATCCTATACATAGACATCACCAGGTGGACAACATGAGAATCAAATCAATTCAGCAAGGTTGAGGAAAGTAATATGTGAAGATAACAGATAAGGTGGATGGATAGGATCAGAAAGACTTGGAAAAACTATGAAAAACATGTCAAGACTGTTAGCATTTGTCCATACAGCCAGACTTGATTTAATGGGACCTAACAATTATAAAGAAAACAATTTTATAATTCAACAACAAATATAACCCAAGTTTTATAGGTTTTAAAGCATCCTCAATGGGACTAATCAAGCATCTCATGGGAAGAAATTCCACGAGATGCAAGTGGGGAATCAATTTAACAATATATAGGATAAAAATAATTGAAAAATGCTTTTCCAACAAAATTCAGCTTCACTAACTTCCAATACTTGTCATGAAGTGAAGGAGGACATAAGCTACTTCAGCATTTAAAAAATAGGATTTCAATCTCATGTCTGCCAGCTATGTATCAATAACAATAATTAAACAATAGTAACAACAATAACTGACTTTCAAATCCAGGGCCACATAGAAAATGCACTCTCAAAGATGTTTTGTGATATCTATAGGATAATCTACTAATAATAATAATGCCCTTCCACAGATACAACAGAGAATGGGATGAGATTTGATTCAGACTGATGATGGATTTTATGAGCCCCTCTGGACAATCCTCCACAAAGCTTCCTAGATAACCTTTGAGTTCCCCTCTGATGGCTCTGCTGCAAATATAAGTAAGATAGCCTTCTGTGTACTGTGTCATGTCCTTGCAAAGGAGAATATTTCATATTATTCAATTTAATTACTGAATCAACCTTGTTAATCACAAAAGTTTGTTGAAATAATAAATTACTTTTTACCAACATGTATTCTTTCA